ATATATTATATTTATTATTATATTATTATTATTACTGTTAATATTATTATTATTATTTTATTATCATTATTATTATTATATTATTATTATTATCATATTATTAGTATTATTATTATCATTATTATCATTTATCATTATGTTATATTATTGTTATTATCCATTATTATTATTATATTATTATTATCATTATTATTAGGGTATTATCATTATCACCATTATCATTATCATTATTGTTATCTCCATTATTGTTATTACTCCAACCTTATACCCTTCTTTTCTTGTCCGTTGTTCTTTCTTCTCTCTTCCTTACAGAGTAATTTTGCTCACTCTGATTATAATTTCAAGAAAACTTACACTGAATGGGTTTTGAAATCCTCAACAGGGAATGGGGTGTGTCTGGAGGTGCCACAGTGCTACGTCAGGAAGGAGCTGTCAAGGAGATAACTTCTTCACCTCTATTTTCTACACTTATCTCAAATAATCACTTTACTTTATTCTTCCCATGATTTTTATAGCACTTTATACTTTTATTAATGTTATTATTACATTATTGTCCTTTCCTACCTCAGGTATTCCCAGATATTAGCCTTACTCCTTTCGTGTTGTTAAAATGGCACTCCCTTTTTTTTTTCTCTCTCTCTCTGGTTATTGTGACAATATCAGGGTGTAATATCATATTTAATAATTCAATTCTTACTTAGATCCCATATATTACAAGCATTACGTCCTTCTTATTCCATACATGCATAATTTCATAACTCAAATACAATCTTTCAAGTAACGAAATTAATACATATCTATTTCTAAAGGAGAATATTCATTATACAACCTGGGTATAATATTGTGCCAGTACAATATAATAGAGCACCCTTAAAACAAAGAGATTGTGGTGGGGATACACCAGAGAAAACTAGGAACTTATATGATAAACTATTCTATTTTACATAGATTCATCTATTCCTTAATATCTAGTGGAATATTACATATACATATATAAAACTCCGTATAAAAATAGCAAAATATAGTATCATCTTTCTGAGCAAACAATTAAGTACTAGAACAACATACATAATTAAAACTGAGGTATACATAAGTTTCAACACATGCTTCAAGACTAAGTAAATGAGGCACACAATGGGTGGTTTCCAGACGAATTTTTGGGCCACTCTAACTTCACATTCCGCACGCCCATTACACACCTTTGGGGTTAGGGGAGACCAAAAATTCGTCGAACAAATTATAGGAACAACATCACCGTACTCATTAAGGATACTACCCTATCTAATTTCACATCAATCAATATTCATCTTAAACACAAAAGTCTTGGCAACTCCCCTGCTATTTTCCGAATTGTTACACATTCGGTGGCTCGAGGATGGTAGACATATCACTAGATTGTTTATCACCATTCCATATTAATTTTGTATCATTCTGTCTGACAATACTAGGTCACCCTTCCGGAATACAGCCACAGAATCTGAACTTCATACGTTGACAGGCCCTAATTGTTGCATGAAATCACATTAACTTCCCCAAGCCCTATAGAGAATCAGAGCACAGACTTATTATTGTTTCTGACCTTGCACCTATTGCACCATTGACGTATCTAAATACTCTAGCTTAGCGTGCTCAACTGGGTCTACATTTAGTCATACACACCTGATTGGGGACCTTCAGGTAAACGTTATTCTTGCAACTCCTTAACCTAAGTCCCTAACAATTTGTTTTGCAAAATCCGAATATATCTAGTACGTAAGAAAAATATACCAGGCAACAATACAAAGTCAGACTAGCATCCAGGTCCAGGAATGTTCTCGATCTACTATATCTAGGTGTCCTCTTGACCCATTCCTAAGGAATAACAATCCTCATCGACCCTAGCATTTACCCTACTCACTCTAAACTAGGATTTCATCAGTATCAATTCCTATCCTGGCCAAGGCATAGGTTTCATCAAAATCAATTTTAAATTTCACATTCACTTATTTTCAAATCACAAAACACGTCGTCTTAAATTTAGAGCACCATAGTAGCACCATTCTAAATAACAATACCATTAATACCACATTACTTGTCTTTAAACATTACTGTTTTGTCTGTTACTTATATACTAAGATTATGTCTAACCCTATTTTACATGGAATAATAGAAGATAGTAAATAATCGTTTTGCAGTTGAAAATTTTGATTTAATAATATAACTACTCAGATCTTATATAATGGCATGAATAGTATACCTCATTTGTTTGTTTGTTATAAACATATTGTTTAGTTCCTAAAAGAAGTATTTTAGTTATTTTTTATATTTTTATATTGTATTATTATTCCTAAAATATAATCTTTGATTTTAGTATTTTTCTGTGAATTTTATTCTGCGATCTGGTTAAGAGGAGAGAGATAAACTTCAAAGGTCTTCTGAGAAGTTGGAAATTATAACCAGAGTGAGCAAAATTACTCTGTAAGGAAGAGAGAAGAAAGAAGAACGGACAAGAGAAGAATGGTATAAGGTTGGAGTGCGCTCAGTTGGTGAGTCGGAATGATTATGTTAAATTAATGGGAATGATTGTAACGATTTATGACGTAAAATATCAATATTTTAGTACATCCATTTGTTTGATATTTCCCTTCTCTCAAGTACCTCTAAGGTTGAAATTAGATCATAGTGACCTTTGTGATTTTTATAACGACATAGTGCCCTATCTTGATGACGTCAGAGTATATTCCAAAGAATTGAGGGAAATAGTGATAACATTCAAGTGGAACAATCTAGGCTCTACAGATGGTGGCAGCGGTGGGATTAATAACAACTTGGTTCCTCACAGTGACAGTGTTCAGATGGGTGGCGATCGGAGGACTCGTCTGAGAACACTTATTGAAAAGATGGACTGGAAATACCTCACCAAAGAACAACAGAAGTTATTAAGAGAAGTAATCCTGGACAATAATAAGTTGTTCATTCTTGATGAGACAGAATTAGGTCAACTAAAAGTAGCTGAAGCTTATATTCCTACGGTAGATGATGAGGCAGTCCGCATGCCATTGTATAGGTACCCCGAACAGTCTAAGAAGATAATTGCAGAAATGATCCAAAATATGTTAGAGAGAGGAGTGATTGAAGAATTAAACCTAACAAAAAGAATCTTGACGCAATAAATAAGATGCCTCCTCCACAGAGTGTCAAACAAGTAAGAAGATCCATTGGTATGTGTAATTTTTATCGTAAACATATACCAAATTTTGCACTAATAGCTGCACCTCTAACTTGACACGGAAAGATGCAAAGTTTGAATGGGACGATGCCTGTAATAATGCTTTTATGAGCTTAAAAGAGAAGTTAGTAAGTGCTCCTGTTTTAGTTAAAGCTGACCAGTCTAAGGAATTTGAATTACATACAGATGCTAGTGATACGCACATTGGCGGAGTGTTAATGCAGAAGGAGCAAGATGATTTAAGACCTATAGGATGCTATTCGAAGAAACTTAATGCCACAGAAAGAAAATATTCAGTGACAGATAAAGAAGTATTGGCTATTATTAATGCCTGTAGGTTTTTCAACCATTATCTTTGGTGTAAGCCTTTTACCATAGTTACAGATCACCAACCATTAACCACGGTGTTCAAGAAGAGAACCGCTTGCCCTAGGATGTCTAGATATATTTTAGAAATGAAAGATTATATTTACAAAATTAAGTACAAGAAAGGATCAAAACACACTGTCCCAGACACCCAAAGTAGACCTATAGGAGCCATCACCAATTTGAATGAGGAAGCATTACAGCCAACTAGCGATGTTAAGTTCTTGGGATTGACAACTGGAAAAAATCAAAGAAGCTCAAAGAGATGATAAAGTGTGGAAGAAACTGATCGAATTCTTAGGAGGTAACATACCAAAACGGATTCCAGGGAATAGACCATTTTATCATTTTGAAATCAAGGATCAAATTCTTTATCTAAAACGTGAGGAAGTAGGTAAAATTAGATCTTGTCTAGTAGTCCCAAAGGTATTAATAATACCAGTCGCTTATTCCATAGCACATAATGATTCACATCTAGGAGAACATAAGACAGTCGCCAAAGCTAAGCAATATTTCTATTGGCCTACTTTGCTGAAAGATGTAAAGAAGTATGTAAAGTCATGCAAACCCTGCCAACAATTTAAAGGACATGGCTCAGTAATACATCAGTGGAGAGATTTACCACCAGTAGATGACAACGGGCAGAGAGTGCCCATTGATCTAATTGACTTTCATGGTAGTAGAAATGGATTTAGATATTGTCTAACAGTCATTGATAATTTTTCGAGATATTTGAGGATTTACCCATTAAGAAACAAGAGTACCACAGCAGTTGCTGCAGAGGTCAAGAAGGATATCTGTAGGTTCGGAACTCCTCGGTTAGTAATTTCAGATAATGGAGGAGAATTTACTGGATCCGAATTTAAAGAATTTTGTAAAAGGGCAGGAATAAAACAAGGATTTTCTATACCATACCACCCTCGAGGTAACTCAGTAGTAGAAAGGGCTCATAGGACCCTAAAGACTGTGCCAGCCATTCTGAGCCAAGAACACCCAAATACCTGGCCTAGTCATATTTCGGAAACGGAAAAGGCATTAAATGAAGCAGTACACACATCCTTAGGTACTTCTCCTTATTTTGCATTCTTCGGTAGACACCCTAACAGAGAGGTAGGACAACTAATGCTACCAGTTGATGAGGATTTACGGGAAGAGGATAGATTAGTTGTGAAAAGTTTACTAAAAGAGACCTTGAAACGCAATACTCAGAACTATTTACAAAAGGCTAATGTGGGTAGGACGTTGGATGTTGATGATCTCGCTTGGGTTTATGTTGAGGAGCCTATACCAAACACTGCAGCTAAATTAAATAGGAAATGGAAGGGACCATTTAAGATTATTAATGTAGTTGATGGAGGACGTGCTTATAAATTAGAGAATGTGTTTGATGGAACTATTGTGGTTAGAGCTGCTGAAAATTGAAAGCTTATATTGATAATGATGAGGTTCTGGAAAAAATAGAAGAGAAATACCTTAATGTCTTAGCTGGCATACTTGGGTTTCTCCATTCATACTTGAACACAGCTCTCTGTGGCACAGCCCTCTCATGCTGGCCAGACCTTGGCGACATATTATACCAAAATACTGCTTCCATGGGCGTCTCCTGAGACCTCTCTGCCAGAACCTTGATTGTCCGATGATGTCTCTCCACAATTCCATTTCCACTTGGTCGGTAGGCTGCTCTAAAGAAACGACTAATATTCCATTTATCCAACATATTCTTCAACACCTGAGATCTGAAAGCAGTGCTGTTGTCCATCAATACCTCATCTACTGGGCCTCTTTCTAAAAAAAGCTCATTTAAAATACCTGAAATTTCCTCTGCAGTCTCACCTCTCAACCGTCTCCATATAGCCACTCTACCAGGACCACAGTCAACCATGGACAAGTATAACTCCTGTCTGTAGTGTGTCACATCAATCGCTAGTCTCCTCCAGTCATTCTTCACACATATATTCCCTGCCTCATGTACGGTTGGCGCAGGATCAATTGATTGACACCTACTACAATACCTCACCACTCGTCGAACTTTGTCCCGTGTAATTGTAGGGTCAATCTTCCTTGCCAAATACAGTGTTCTATCATCTCTCATGTGGTGCATCTTGTGCAGGTCTTCCATGCTCGAGACTCCTGCGCAGCAGACTGAGGTCTCCTTTTCAACCTCTTCCTGAAAACCTAGCCAAGTTTTCTTCACTCTTGTTAACACATCTGCTTTGTTCTTCTCAGACTGCACAAAACACACACTCAACTTCACACCGAACTCTTCGACCAACTCTCTCAGAGTCCCCACGCGGCATCTCTGAGGCTCCTTTCGTTCGTACTCTCCTCTCTGCTGTCACTACTGAATTTAGCTAACCAACCACTGTAGCCGAATCAGTTCTAATCTCGATGTCTCGCAAACTCCATTTCAGAGCTAAGTTGATGCCTTTTAATACAGCGTCTACTTCTGCTACATTGATATGGTTATAATCATCCTTTTTCCGTAAACATGCACCATCCTCAACAGTTTCATTGCCAGTCTCCAATATCACTCCAGTGGCAATACTACTTGCATCACACCAAATAACTCCCTTCTCTGACTTGGGGGCATTCCACCTCCCTCTAATTGGATCTTCACTACTTAATCTACTTACTATATCTTACTTACTTACTGGTCTTCCCATCTCATACCTGTCAGCTCTCCTCTTCACATAACTACAGGCTACCCTGAGCCATCCTGTGATTGGATAATGGCCCACCAGCTTTCCGCATATGGAGAACAATTCTCTTCTGCTCAAGTTATCCTTCACTTCCGGTATCTCATTACCTCTCCTGAATATCAACTCACCATTCTTATTCATTTCCAGTCTCAGGCATACGGCCGCACTCCCGCCTCCAAGTGGCTCTGGCTGTTTCGTAACCAATCCATACTGTTGCAAATGCTCCACAACTGTTGATGCTGCAACCCTCATCTCATCCACCAATATATCATCAATGTATGAATTCGTAGCAGTCAACATCCCCTCTCCATTGCTTAACACTGTCCTCAGGATCTTCGTCATAATTCTTGGTGCTGAGCACAATCCAAAACCAAGCCTAGTTAATCAATATGTTTTACCCTTGTATTTCACCAGCTGGTATTTCCACAGCTTCTTTGCTACATGAATTTGAAGATAGGCCGATTTAAGATCCACAATAGTTGAGGCCTGACTCATTTGCCTCCAAGCTCTAAATGTCACTGCACACATCAGTAGCTTCATCACCTGTATGAGACATTACATAGCTGTTGAGCTCACGAAAATCCAGCACTGGCCGAACTTTATTCTTAGTAGGCTGTACAACTGCCATTAATGGCAAAACTCCTCTTTCTACTTCCCTTTCCCATGGTACCAGTATACCTTCATTACATTTCCCTACTACTCAAGATGCACATATTGTGGTTGTACAACCAGAATCGACCAGTGCTCTCTGCTTTCTCACCCCCACCAAAACCTCAACTACCGCCAGGGATCTTGGAAGCGCCTTCAACTGACTAAGGGGGTAACTTCCGGTGCAACAGCTACCCCATGACCGTTGCCCTGGTCACAACGACTCGCTATTTGACCTTCCTTTCCACAAGAGTAACATCTTAAGGCAGGTCTTGGCTCTTTACACTCTCTTGCCATGTGAGGACCCTCACATCTGAAGCAGCGACCCTTAAACCCACTAGTTCTACTATACTCCTCTCGTAAGGACGAGTTAAACTGTGGAACTGGACATCGTCTTGCTGTTACCAGTCCTCTTGCTGCAACCGCCGCCACTTCTTGACTTGCATTTCTTGAAGCTAACACTCTAGCCCTCATGATCAACTCACTCATATCCAGTTTCAATGTCTTTTACCTGTTGTAATTCCATTGATATTCGATCTGGAAAACCGGTTACAAAAGCCAATTTTACAGCTCTTTCTAATCCCTCTCCTTTCCATCCTGCAAGACCTGCCAACCGCCTTACGTCGTTGGCAAAAACGTCGACTTGTTCACCCGTCCATCGTATCGTTCTCAGCCTTCCATACGCCTCAAAGATCAGTTAATTTTTCGATTATGACAATCGGGACTTCCCAGACAATATTTATATCATCAGATTTATTCATATGGGATGAGAATGAATTTGATGATCATTTCCGTTGCAATTACAGCCGACGATCTTGATGTGTTAAGTCCCGTTAGCAGGGGAGGGCATGAAGTATATCAGGGAAATTATGGGGTAAAACAGGCTTAAATAAGAATAATAACGAACAGAAACGTGTAAAACTAGCACAAAAAACGCTAAATATCGGTTAATAAAACTCTACGGACATGTCCGCCACCTTTGAGACTCTACGCACCGACGCGCCAGAGTTCGAAAAACTCTATGGGAATCCAACCCATCTTTCGGCAAAATCTACGGGATTTCACACCTTCCAGACCAAAAAAAAAAAAAGTCTTAAACCATAACCCAACCTAACCCAACAATTTACAGTGCCGTGACTAGGTGTACCCTTCGGGTACTGCCCGAGGGGAGGGTTGATGGGGGGCAAGCCCCCCAACACCCCCCGGGACACATTCTCTTCACCTCGGTATGTACGGTAAGATAGAGCTACATCCATACTGTAAACAATAAACCAAATACCTATATATATCGAAGAACCGAACTGTCAAATTTCCTTCCCTTCTTTCGGTGGATCGTGGATCGCTTCGTTTTATCGCTTTTTTCGGGATTTGCAGTACTTGATGGCCTCGGAAATCGAACTGCGAGTTATTAAGATCTTTTTCTTCTTCGTTTCCACTAAATAGTCTTAAGAACAACCCAGAATCGACGTAAGACCGAAACCGAAACATTTCTCGCCGGTCTCCTGTCACTGGACTGCCCTGGGAATCGTCCTGTCAAACCTGGCGGCAGAACGCGAAAATGCGCCTGCGCAGGTGCTTCAGACCGATTTCCTTAAATCAGTCTAATAAATCTTGAAACATGAAAATGAGGTATAACAACGTAAACAAAGGCCTTTGAAAGCATATATGTGGAACAGCAGACACTGATAATTAGCCAAATATCGTTTTGACAACGGCGTAGTAATACATGAACTACTTAACAGAGCGTAAGAATGAGTTGACTGGTCAATTTTGTTTATAATCACGATGTCAACATGGCGAGGGACAGAAAAAGATGGGTCGGTCTTCTCTCTTCTCTGTCGTGAAGCTTTATTTTCGATTTGCGCACCTTTTGCCATAGATGAAAAGTGTCTGTTTATGTCAAGGTAACCATTCCATATCTTTTTTTTTTTTTTTTTTTTTTTTTTTTTTTTTTTTTTTTTTTTTACTGTAACCCTGACTGTTATCCGCGGTAATTTTACCGTTACTCCTTCATAAATATATATAGTTGATGCTAGGAAATTTCAATGTAAGGAAACCCCTCCCCCCTGTATTTCTACATTTGGTAATTTTCTATATTACGTCCGCATAACCGATATCGACGATTTTGGTATCGTTGGATTCCTCTCACTCTATATAATGCAAATATGTTGGTTTTATTGCGCGGAAACCCCCCGTTAGCGGCAAACTTGGCCCCGATAGCGGGGGCGACGATGTCGGAGCGGCGGACGTAATATATAAAATTACCCTAATAATATAACCTTACAGTGAAAATAATCATGGTTATTCACATGACTTCCCACTGCAGGGTGCTGCGCCCCCTGCGATCCCCCCAGGGGGGGCTGCAACCCCCCAACTCCCGCCGAGGAAACAAAACCTCCACCACGTATTCACGGCAGGATAGAGCGCACACGAACTAGGTGCGGAGCCGATAGCCTACAATAACCTAGGATTTTTAAGGTACTAACCTGATTGACTAATGCCGGTAATTAGTAGGAAGCACATCTCTAGCATTTTTTCCTGGCTAGTTGCAATTTCGCGCTGAAAATCCGTCTCCGAATACGAGCACCCTCCACACTCGGCCATCGCGGCGGCAATGACTGACTTCTGAACGCGACGGTTATTTCGGTTAGGAATACGAATGTCGTTATTCCAGAGGACGGGAAACTCGACCTTGAGGCCATCGGTGTAACATCGAAAGAGGCGCAAAACCCGCCGATGAGGGCGGACCACCCTGTTCATCCTGATTATACTACAATCGTCTCTATATACAATGCTGACTATAATAAGGTTAATATGCTGATTCAGTGGAAATGTTACGAGGTAATCGTAATATTACGTCCGCCGCTCCGACATCGACGATGATTGTGTAACGCTCTAGCCTGCCGGGAATACGTGGTGGAGGTTTTGTTTCCTCGGCGGGGGTTGGGGGGCGCAGCCCCCTGCAATAGAAAGTCATGTGAATAACCATGGTTATTTTCACTGTGCGTTTTATTATTAGTGCTATTTAACCCCGCATTTTCCCTGGAACCTTTCATGCCAGTAAGATATTTCTAACAAA